GTTGAAATAGTACATACTTCCATGCGTGGTTGTGTGATATGCATTCTTGGTAAATCGTGCCGCCACAATTTTTGGCGTTGTCGGCAGGATTTACCAAGAATGCATATCACACAACCACGCATGGAAGTATGTACTATTTCAACTCAATGCAACCACATAAGATCAATGTCATTTTCCCAAACTTGTGCCGACACATCCTTTTTCAGTAACCGGATATTTCAAAATAAAAATCTGATTTCATTTGATCCATACAAAACAAATTTTTGCATGGGAACGCAAAACATTATTGCGAGGTAACACAAAAGAAAAAATTCCCACTATGTCCCCTCGTGGGCTCCATATTACAGAATGTTGTATGAGTGACTTTATTTTGAGTTTTTATTTTGAAGGATCAATTGTGATCAACTAAATTCAACATGCAGTCTTATATCTTATACTGTGTGATAGGTTTTAGTCATTTTACTTACTGATGTAAGAGGGGCATCCGCAGCGATGTGCAGGTTTTCTATAAAAGATGGTTTGAACACGTGATCGGGGCCATYTTGTTTGGACTCTGAAGCTACACAGGCTCTGAGTGCAATGGTGTCTTTAGATCTGAACATAAACATTCACCTGAGAACGTAATCAGTTTTATGTGCATTTTTCAGGCTACCAGTCTAAGAAATGCCTTATAGTTTATTCTTATTGTTTTTGGGCCCACTGTGGTCACTATGTGTAGAGACTAATAACATTCTGAGCAGGAATATGTTGTATTATATCCATCAAATTGAACATATGTGGCTGTTTAATTCAAAAAAGCAAAGTCACTTGTTTTTATTCACATTTTTATTTCTCTTACTTTGAATAGTTAGGTAGGCTTCTCAAGAAAAACACTGTACAAAATGTCATTTAAAAGGCTCTGAATTGTCTTCATGTTAACAAAATAACAATTCAGAAGGCTTAACGCAGAAACATCAGCAGACATGCTGTTTGTTGCTCACTCTGCATGTGTTTCTGCATCGAGCATAATTGACATCTGATCGCAGAGTGATTTGGGGTGCACACTTTACCACCAAGTGCAAACAGAGGTGTCAGAGCTGATCACTTGCAGTCAAAACCCCTTAAAAAGAATTTGTGATAAAAAAAAATCCAAACAGCCCCAAAAAGACAAACAAGACATCCATGCTTACTAGTGTAGAAGCAACTGACACTTTTTATCATGTTTATTTCATCATTAAGTTCCAGTCTTCAGCTAACAACTGCATTCATTAACTGCAAACTGTGGGTAATTTTGTTTTTCGGAGGAACATTGGAAGCAGCAGTTGTATCGACTTAAAACACTGTTTATAACTAATGATAAAAGCCCTGTGGCACATTGGAACAAATGTTTGGAGTCCTTGCTAAATAAATTTATATAGAATTAATTAATTTCATTTCATTCATCAAACACTGTAATTATTTTGTCCTGTACATATTCATAAAACCTTCCTCTTATTTTAGTCAGCTATAGTCTAAATTTAGTTAAACATACACATGGAACCTTAAAAAATGGTATTTGTTCACCTTAATGTGATGCTGGGATGAAAGCTTTTGATTGTTTAACCATTATTGTTTTCTTGCTACAACTGCCGCTTTGTCCAAAACTAATGATTTCCTTCTCTTTGTCCACGAGTCCACCACAGGAGGTCCGTAAAGTGTAAACAGAGAGGCAGAGAGGAAAAGCTGGAGTGCTTCATTATTGTCTGTATTCACTGGAATAAAGAACTTTGCTGCGAGTCATTGTAGTCAAATGCACTTGAAGCACTATCTCCTGCAGCCAGCTGTGCTGAGGGGTCTTTGATTTCCATGTGCTCTCGTGGACCAGCCCACCCCCCCACTCTCTCTCTGCACATGGTACAGTCCATTTAAAAAGGTGCTTGTCATCTCTCAATGCTCTGTGTCCTTTCAACAGTCAGCTGCAGGGTGCACATTTCATGGGGGTAGTGCTGGCTCTCTGACACACACACACATACACGCACAAACAGATACACTCATGTTGTTACGGAACTCTCACAGAAACACACAGGCATGCTTTCACTCTGATCCACTCACACACACCATCTCTACAACACACACTCCTTCCAGCAAAAGCACATTTCCCCTCAGCCAGACACATCTTTAAGAGAAAAGGACACATTTCTATGAGGATTTAAGTTTTGTTTTTTGGCCCCCTCCCCTCCGTTTAAGAAAGGATTGAGAAGAAGTCAGGGAGGATTTTATTTGGGGACATCTACCTTGTAAGGAAATGGTCAACTTGTCAGCATGACACCGTGTTTGGATTTCCTTCTCTCCCTCAGGCAAAAATCTTGAAAATGATGGATGACAACAAGCAGCTGGCCCAGCGCATCGATGGGGCCATTCAGTCWGCCAGCCAGGAGGTGACCAACCTGCGGTCAGAGCTGAGCGCCACCAGTCGCAGACTGGCCGAGCTGGGAGCGACAGACTCCTCTGCCAGCATGCTGGAGACCCTGCAGCACAACCACAATGGTAAGGGAGCCCCTCGGAGWGAGCAGTGAGCCTAAAGTTGCAGCAAATGTGGCGAGGATTTGAATCCAGCTGTTGGTGATCATGCAGTGTGGATTGTTGTGTTTCAGCTTGTAATAGATGTTATTAAATAGAGAAAAGTCTCACATTATGTGGAAAAGTGCAGTTAGTGAAGAAACTAAAACAGAAATGTTGAGGGATTTCTGTTGACTTAGTTCACTCTAATTCTCCTTTCATGTTGAATTATTAACCCCTTGAACTTTTCAGGGGGGTGGGGTGCTGCTGCACTTCTTCGAGGCAGAGTAGGTAAAGTTACAGCGTCTTTTCACCCTCAGGCACGCTGTGTGCTAGCCCACTTGGCTCTCCCCTAACTGGACAGGGGATCTGTGTCTTGAGGAGGGAAAAGGAAGGAGGGCTGGTGTCAGGGTTGCTGTGGGGGGACTGTTTCTGAGCTGTTTGAATGGCTGCAAAGTCTGTCCGCATGTTTTGGGAGCACTGCAGCTGCTTTGTCCTTTTTCAACTTTTTCACTTGGTTTGACGTATAGATATGTCAGGTAACAGACGTGGGCTTGAAATCTTTGTGCTTCACAGTAATCACAGTTAGCAATGTGGGTTTCCATGTCCTTTCTACTTCTGGCATGCATGCACACACACACACACACACATACACGCACGCACGCACGCATGCACGCACGAACGCACGCACGCACGCACACACACACACACACTTATGCTGTTTCCATAGCAGTCAGCTGGTAGTGAGCTGGGTGAGAGGATATGTTCTGTCAGCCCTGGCAGYGCACTGCTGTGAAACATCTTCCTCAGATACTTATAGACCTACAGTGTTTCCTCTTTTAAATTTAGAAATTGATGAATGACTTACACTTTTTTTTACAGATTTTAAGTTCTTGACCTATGTTTTGCTTTTAAAAAGAGGAAATAATGATGGGACTATCTTACACAGCTGACCGGGGACAGTTTTGACTCGTGTCAGCACTGTTTGCAGTGAACCAAGCGGGCGGTTTTGTTCTGCAGTTATTTATCTCTTGTATATATGTGCTGCACATTATCTCCTTGGCACCGAYGCATCCTTGCATTGCTGCTGTTTCCATAGCAGTGTGCGTGTGCCGGTGTGATTCCTCTGAACACTCCTCTGGGAGTGTTTGATCACTGATGTCATTGTTCCTCGTTGCTGCTTGTCAGCTCAGCTGAAACGATGCCAGAGATGAACACGTTCTGATGTGAAATACCAATCATCTTTGAGAATATTCATGAAATTCACATTTGCATTGCAAAGACAGCAGTTTTGCTTTAGTCGCAGTGTTTTTTTTTTTAAATTAATATCTTATTTAGAACTGACTCCTATCTATGGATTTGTTTACAGTTTGGATTGTAAATGGCACAGTTAGGGACACAGTGCTGTGTTTCTTACTGTCTCGTTAAAACATGGCATGCAGAGAAAACTTTTTGCAAACTTCATTCTGAAGATTGTGGTTCCTGGTTCTTGTCTTTGTTTGACCTGTATAGCTTCTCCGTGTCCATGAGTCTCAATCAGTCGGTCTATTTCCCTTTCACAGCCACTTCTTGCAATCTGTTCTCAACCCCCTTTTTGTTCTAACCGTTCTTTAAAAGCTTCGAGTGTATAATAGAAAAGACTAGGGACAGAGGGATTAGGTAATTTATCACAAGTGGCCGTATAGGGAAGGGAGGCGTGTGGTTAAGGTCGCTGGTTCATTGCGCAGCTGGTAAAGTGGAAGTCCCGAGAGAATCGGTATCAGGGGTCCTCTCTGGACTTCACTTTGAGCAGCACTAACCTTGCTTGCAGGCCAGCTGACCTTAATTGTGTTCCTACTGCCGTTGGGGTTTGCATTTGTTCGCTATATTAATCTCAGTGGCTGCAAGGTTGAAAATAAACTCTATAGTTTCTGGTTCATATTGAAAGAATTTTTTTCAAAACAGATTATAAAAATATTTTATTCCAAACAAAAACTTTAGTCACTCAAGTCAATGACAATTTAAGTGAAACTAAGAATTTCAAAGGCAGTGTGCTTAAAAAAAGTTATTTACATCGTTGTATCAATTTATTACGTTTTTCAGGGTTATTGATTTACTGCTCTGTTAGGGTCTTGCCTGCATTATAACATGTTGTGGTCTTGACTTTAAGTGGGCCATTGATAGGTCTTTTTTGTGTTTTAGCCATTTCGTTATACATTTGTTGCTGTGCTTTAGATCATTGTCCTGTTTTATGACCCAATTTTAACTTTGCTAAAGCTTTTRCGCAGATTCACATATGACTCCAAAATACTGAAGAGTTGACCTTGAGGCCCCTTTCATTCAGCATTTTCAAACCAGGCCTGATATGACTTCTTTTTACCTCAGTGTCATGTGTGAAATGACCAAGGTAGACAACAGAGTCAATGTTTTCCAGCTGCTGTTATACCTCTGGGTCAGCAAAAGGTTTAGACCTTGTCTACATGAGAACACAGTTTTTCCAAACCTGTTTTTCTTTATTTGTMATTTCTAAAAATACTCGCGTCATTTCTTGAAATGTCTTAAATACAACGCAATTATCCAAAAGGTTGCATGTCAAGTCTGCAGGTGGTGTCGTAAAAAAATAAATGTCATCTGAACAAGAGTTTAAAACAACAAAAACAACTTTGTAGACGTCACCTTAAAGGCCCAGTATACTCGCTTGAAAACCAGTCGACATGCAGTCACGTGGTTGTTCGATGTTTATTTTTGCACACACCTTTCATAGCTCCTGGGACCCACCATGCCAATCTCCTGGGAAACCCCTCCAACTGCRGGCTACATCACTGCATGGGGTGCTACTTCCTGCTGAAGTCTACACTGTGCTACTATATTTTATCCACAAATCTGTCCCGGTTAAATCTCCCCCGTTTTGGCCATTTGACTATCTTTATAAATGTCATTTTCGACTACAACAGTTGGATTCTGGAAGCGATGCAGTTGAAGCAAAAGCAGCGTCCAAATACTTTCATCTTAAACAAACATGCTAATGAACTTCTGACCAATTACATAATGATTTCTTATGTGATGGATGGTGAAAAGTTCTCCTGGCGGGTTGTCACGAGAAAAGGCAAAAGACTCAAAGCTGCAAACAAAATTAGGCAGTTTTTGTCATGCAACTGCAACAATGAGAGCCAATTTCGTCAGTTCGGATGGAGCATGTGGAGGTTTTTTAGTCTCAGAGCTGAGTTGGTGTGTGAAGGGAGGGGTAGAGCATGCAACACTCCATTCTAACCCACAGTGCTTTTGTTGCTATGCCGAGTCACGTCAGCTTTTAAGCACACATTTTGATATGTCACCAACCCAATTGGTTCGTGTCTGTAAAACTGCAGAGAGCCTAAAGCCACAGTGTGAAAAAGCCTAATGACTGTCAGCTGCCTAAGTCCTGAGGCTGTGAAACAAGTCCAGATGACCACTTGTCCCCAAATGTGTCTAATAGTTGGACTGAGGCATTTATCTCATGATGCAGTGTTTTTTTTTTTTGCTGAGCTTAGCATTGTGCATTCTTAAACAGTTCCACTTTTGTCTAGAATATCCACAGGGCATTATTTTAGATATGTTTTCTTATTTCAAATGCAGCTCTTTTTTGAAAAGAAAAATGTAGTTTGTTTGATTTTTTTAAACCTGTGATTAATTTCTTTACTATCAAACTAGACTCCAGCGAAGTGACAAATCACCAGCTGTTATGAGGGTTTTTATGGTTTGCTGATTAGTTAATAAAGTGCATTTGCTTAGGGGCACCCAGATACTAATCACATTCGTAATTCCCTTTCAAGCAATAAAGATGCACTTAGTTTTTCACACAGGTATTCTGCAATTTGACTTAGTTTTTTTAAAACAGTGTTATGTGTTGTTTGTCTAAGGCTATATTTACCTCCTAAGAAGTTCTTGTGTTTTTTATGTACCCTCAAGTTGACCTTCATTGTTCTTCCTATCTGCTATTTTTAAAGTGAAAGTCACAGAAAAAAATCTCTGCAGTGTTCTAACAATATTTTAGTTCTTTGTGGGCATCAAATTTTTTTGTTTTCTCAAGGTTGTTTAGCTGTTTAGAGGCAATTATTGCTTATTTTTCTTTCACTTCATCAAAGCAGACATTTTTGACAGGGAACGTTCAGTTTCCTATGCTGCTGTTTCTAAAAATAGAAAACATCCTTCACAAGATTTATTTTACAGATGAGCCTCATATGACTTTGCTGTCTTGTTAAAAMGGTTGATGTGAGTGCACCGATGGTTAATGCTAAATATAAATCCAAGCTCTGAAACAAACGATTTAAATAAGTGATGTTAAATTGCTCAGGTGTGAAACAATGTCACAACATTTGCAGCTTCAACAGAAACCGAATTGAACAGTTTGTGGTGTTTCTCACTTTTTATTTCAAGAAATATGTTTACATTTTACTGATTGTGGAAAAGCTTTGATGACTGGCAGAACCATAACTTCTTTACAGTTAAGATGGGATTCAGTCAAAGTACGTGTAAATAAATTTTCATATGTAGAATATTATCCTGATATAGACTGGAGGTCATTTGTTCCCTAGAACAGAACCTAGTAAACCTGATACTTTTCAGCATGACTTAGCCTTTTTATTCTTCAACACATTTTCTGCATTGATTCCAGAAACAGATGCATGTAAAGTGATATTTTCTTATAAGAGGAGAATACCTACATTGTAACTGGTGAAGAATACATTGGTGATGCAGTTATAAAAGACTGCAGTAAGTTGCCCCAAACTGTGAAAATAGCATCAAGTCCTATTAGTGCTCTTTTCGTCAGTGAAGATGGGTTTTGAGTCCTTATGTGTCTACGGTATGAAGATGAGAAACTTAATGACTTGTGTGGAGAAAAAAAAATAAAAACTTCTCCTCAGGTTTTATGTTTACGGCACATTTTATCGTCATTTATTTGACAAAGTCATCCAACAGATGGTTACTCATCAACGCAGTCCTCAAAAGTGCAACATAAAATGGGATCG